ATATGTGTGTGTGTGTGTGTATAGCACATGAGTAACATGACAAATACACAAATACACATGAGAAAGACATCGATACATACCTTCGCACATACCTTCATACACATGGCTTTGCAATATATATATATATATTGATACTTTCTTGTATGTTCTATTGTCATTTTCAAACCATCATCATAAAATTTGTATTTCGTCAAGACTTGATTGCGGGGTGAACAAACACCTTTGGTCTTTAAATTTTATTTTTGATGTTATGTGTATACACTCAGTCTGGTATTTTAATTAGTGAATGCGATTGATGGATAATTAAGAATAGCAATCTCATCTGCATCCCTCAAACTTCCTCATTTTACACCAAATATAGTGCACACAACAATGAACACTCTCTCGATGGTATGCACTTCACTTGCTCAAAGTTTGTATCCAACCATCACATGCACAGCACTTCGTTCTACAAGCCCTACTTCTGGGTCACCTTTATGGCCTACATTGTGGGACTAGTAACGACCGTCGTCATCATGCACGTGTTCAAGACCGCTCAGGTATGTGGCATGAACACTTCACTGCTTGCCTACGTATACGACTTGTTTGATATATGTGCATAGCTGTCAGCGTGCACACATACACACATTCGGATATTTGTCTCATATGTATAGCATACGTATAGTGGTCATCATGCCCATACACAAAGTCGTCATTGGGTGCCTGGATCTGCTGTGACCCTACTGTTCGCTTTGGAAATCGTTACCCACTTCCGCTCATTTTAAGTGCATGCTGTGTATGTGACGCTCTGTCAGTCAATCACTAGTGCGAGCACATGCATGCATTGTAGACACTTACACATCTCATGTGATCTCATATACACTCCTCGCCGCACTCATCAGCGCACTTATCCACGGCGTGTTATTACGTTTACATTCATCTCAACTCTCCAGCTATCGCTGCAGTTTGCGCCTGCTTCGACTTCAATGTGTTTGCAGTAAAGATAAAGCGGTATATATATAAATATATATATATATATATATATATATATATATACATATATATATATAAATATACTAATATTAATATTATATATATATATATATAATATATATATATAAATATATATACATAAATATATACATAATATATGTTATTATAAATATATATATATAAATATATACATATATATATAAATATATATTATTATATATATATATTATTAATATTATTGTATATATATACATATATATATAAACGTATATGCGGTCACTCTACTATTTTATTTACAACTTATACCCGCACACACCTGTTGATAATTGGCAGCCCGCTCTGCTATATCTGGTACCCGCCTGTCTTGGAGCGTCAATGATGTTGGCGGTGGTGCGACGAGAAGTGACGCTGCTGTTTGCGTACAAGGACAGTGAAGCCACACCGGTGAAGGGCGCTAAGGCCGTGAAGAAGGAGTAGTGTTAACAAACCCATTAACTTTCCAAGTAGTGGATAGCGTGTAATAAACCTTAACTGCTTTTTGAACTGGTTCTTTATTATGCGAGGTACGAGTGTTTGGTACGATTGTGTGTATTGCGGATAGTGTCCCATTCATCCCAAGCGGATCACGGCTGATTTGGAGGATGTAGAGCATTTCTTAGTACTGTCTCTTGCAACTGGGATGCGAGTGGTACGTAAGCACCTAAAACTTCTTATGTTATTTCGTGTTCGCGCGTACCAGAAGTTTTCATAGTGTGGTTTAGCCCACATCGCTTTGTAGTGCTACGATTGCACTTCCAAGCTCGAGTATGGCGAATAGTGCGGGTACGTCCAATATATAGCGGTTTGTGACTATGAATTGTGTTTGTATTATATTAAGCTGATCAACAATGTGTCTGCACGAAGATTCAGTATACAATATAATTAAAAGTACACGTGTAATACCTACGATAGTTTTCGGATCCTACACATACGCAGATCTCAATGTCTTCGTACATACTTTTACTTGTCAAAATACATACGTTCCCTCTAATGCACAACAGATACACTATCTGCGTATTTCCACAGAATAGTGTAAACATTATATCTGCTCGCAAACAGATACGTATAAGACAAATTATGTAAGCACCCTAAAAATACATATGAGCATACTTGTCCCTACTACGGTATATATGTGGATACAACAGATATATGCTTATATATATACATATATATATATGTTATAAATTATATATGATATATTATATATATATATATATATATATATATATATATATATATATATATATATATATATATATATATATATATATATATATATATATATATATATATATATATATATATATATATATATAT